CATTCCTCTGGTGTTTAAGTGGCTGTACTCTCATCTGGACATTTGTTTTTCTAGATATTTTTGCTACTCTTCTCAACATCCTATTTCCACTTTACTGGTCCCCTGTTCCTCTTCCCTCAGCTTTAGCTGTGGATGCATTTCATCAGGACTGGTCCAACTCTTTTCCTCCATGTCTAGCCTCCTATATGTCTTCTCCTTCAGGATTTTCTGCATTCCAGACACTCCATGTTGCACCCTCCTGATAAATGTCTACTGGCCGGCTCGGCCATGATTTCCCCTCCTCCTCTTTCACTCTTGCTACTCCTTCAACCTCACTCCACTTCTCCCATCCAGCAGTGTTGTCACTTTGGCTTCATGTGTGGGTTTTGTCCAGCCCCTTGTGAGATGTTCCAGACTCTCTTTACATGTAGCCTTTATTATTTCTTTCTCAATTTATTCTTCCTGTCTCCTTGTCTATCTATAACAAGGGTGCACATTATGCAGTTGGTCTCTGCATCATGTTTTCTTCCTTTCCCTTCCTTTTATCTCTCATCTTTCTGAATTTTTCCATTGACTGTTCAAATGAGGCTAATAATTTTGGGTTTTCCTATTATTCTCTTTTCTCCTCTACTGTCTTTTTTATGTTTTTTTGTTCCTTTTGCCACCTTCATCCTCATCATCTTGCAGTCCTTCCTGATTGGGACCTGAATACTGTTTTCCATACCATTACCCTTCCTCTCTTTGACCCTTTAGTCTCTTGTTCCTTGTACCATCTTTCTATTAGGTCCTACTTCTTGCTTTTTGCCTGTGGCCATGGGAGAAATGATGTGCATGCCATTGCTGCTTCTTTTCTTATTTTTTCTTTACATTTCTCAATATTATTCTCATTTTGTTCCAAATCATTTTTTCTGACCCATCCACATGGTTTGTTGTTCTTTGGCCCAGTTTGCTCCTTTTCATGGTTCATGTTCCTATCTATTTAGTTTTTGGAATTCCTCATCTCCCAGCAATATTTATCCTATTATGCTCAATTGATGGCTACAGCAACTCATTCCATGCTTTGTTAGATGTAGATTCACAGTGACTCTTTCAAGTCTCCTCTCATCAAATCCGACACCTTACTCTCTCTCTCTCTGGCTCTTCACTTCCATCACCCGTTGGAGGTATTTCTGCAGGCTGTCATCTGGACTACCCCACTTACTTTCATAACACATTTTCTTCATCTTCTGACTGTCTATTCTTTTTTCTGGATATCGACTTCCTCCTGTCACCATTCTACATATCCCTTACTGTTTTTGAGAGGGTAAGTTCTCTTTTGATATATCTTACTTTTACAGTGGCCAATTTCTACATCTCTGGATCCTGCTTGGTGGCAAGGGATGCCTGTCCGGGTATATTTAATTTTAATTCCGCACCATGCAATCTTTAAAGGTATAAACACTCACTGATGAGATGGGGTATTCTGGAAGACTGCTCAATGGTTCCTTGCAGTATTATGCTTCATAAAAAGGTCCGTTTCAGACCATACTAACTCGTGGATTATCATGAGTAAAGCACTGTCCAGTCCTAGTAGAATAAACCGGGACTAGCCTGCTTTTCAAATTAAGGTTTTTTGTGGTCACCCATTGCACAGTCTTAAAGTGTTGCATTCCTCCAGACTCATCACAATGTTGTTTTGCCCCCTTCTAGTGGATTACGGGAGTCTTTGTCACTTACCAATTCCTAGCTGCTGGAGTGGTAGACCATGGAGGCTTTCTCCTGAGTGTGAGTACTCTACTCCTACTGTGGACCAAAAGCAAATACCCAATGCCACCTGGTTTTGGACTGGATGAATCCAACACATACAGTTCACCTTTCCATCTACTTCTACCTGGAGGTTGGTTCCTGGGTGGTCTGGTGTTGGATTGGCATAGGACCAGCCACATAAGTCCTCACAGATGTGGTTGATAGGGTCCAACCTCCTACAGCAAACTGGACAAAAAATTCCCAATGCTGCCTGATTTTGGAAATGGAGTTGACCAACTAAATACAGTCTGATTCACCTTAGCCACTCTATACCATTTACTGATTGGACTTGTATCTTTTCTGCCCAGCTGAGTGACACATATCCTTACAGTGAGTGAAGAGTATATGCTGGTACAAATGGGTTCTCTTCAGATGCTTTCTGAAGAGTGCTCAACTGGGTAGCTTTTGCAACAGTCCCTCTACTGTTTCAGTGTGAGAAGAGGTAAGGTATCATATCTGAAGTTAGCATTTTCAAACAATGAAAATGTATTTCCGAAAGATACCTTTTTCTCACACTTCCCACCCATCCCTCCCACTTCCAGTGCATCTTTTTCTTGTCTAATCTCAAAGTGATGATTGTGATCTACAGTATAGAGCTCTTAAATGTTATTTTTCATTGTTTTCTCTTAGAAGAAAGTGTCCTGTCACTGTTTTAAGAGTGTGACCTCAAGTCACAATTGCCTACATATTATTGTTTTTTCCTGCCCTTACTGTGATAATAAGTGGTGGTACCATTTTAGACATATCTTTAATTGTGGTATCCCTTTGAAATAAGATAGTTCCATTGGCAATATTGTCATTATCCAGACTGACCATGTTTTTAGTTTTTACAGGCCATAAGAATTTTTATTTCTATTTAATATTTTAACATTTAATAAAGTAACTTTTGTGATTTACATTTTTTATATTATAAACATATTGTT